AAGCAGTGAAAATCATTAATAGGCAATAGTTCGATGGGCTGAATTGCACAAAACGCATGATCGCACTGGCTAGTCTGGTGCACGCTGCTATTTATTTATACTTGAAAAGTTGAAAGTTTCGTCGCCTTTTTTAGGTTTGGTAAGCTTTTTATGTTTTAATAGAACTTACTTCTGTCACTAGTGTGTCGATATAAGTGCTATTGTCGTAGATCCAGCCCATCTGGCATGGGATTAGTTTTAGATTGCCCCACAGTTTCCGCATATTGTCAACATCCGCAGTAGAATTCCAAATGAAGTCAATTTCGTCAGCACTGTACTGCTGACAGCTCATTTCTTCCTATATTGCAAATGCAACTTTTGTAACTTTACTTTTACTATTCAAAGCATTTCAAAGATAAATTGCGATATGCACTTGTTGTCATTTGCTCCAGAACGGTCGGATGGACGCAAGCTTGTGTCTTCTGTGCATTTTTGTGCAACAGATATTTGCTGTTAATTATGCAGTAAATTTAAAACCCGATTCCTCAATGAATTTCCGTCGTTTGTCCTCTTTTCTCTATTTTCATGGTCAAAAAGAATGGAATTTTGTAGCGCTGTTTTCTAATCCTTACTGTTTAGAACTTCCGTCATAACTCTCTGCATCCTGACTTAATGGTACATGCATTTCGTAAATGAGCGTCCCAAACTTCTCGTTCAACCGAACCAACATGAGAACGTAAACGGTATGCGAAGTATAAAATATGAAAATTCTGGATGCTACTTACTTGAGGTTGTAGTCTGAAATTTGCTAAAGTTAAAGGGTAATTACAGATTCATCAGCCATACTCTGTCACAAGCCAGAAATTTCAACTTTCTGGCTTGCCCGTCTCAGGGTTAAGAAGTGCGCAAAAGACGTATATTTATAAACATAAGGATATACTACTCTATGTCCAAAATATGTGCCTTTTTTTAATAAAAAGCTGCCAGTCAGATCTGCGCTAGAAAATCATTTGCGCTATGAGGTGTAATTTGCCTCTAATGCACAGCACGCATTGTTTCAGTGACGGCCTGAAGTGTAACATGCAGTTTACGTTCTTAATAACCCATATTTGCCGTAAAGAGAAGGGTGATATTTTGAGCGTAGACCATCACGGCTCAGTGTAGACACATTGTAGATTCATGTGCAGTTAGACTAAAACCGAACACTGCGCACTTGGAGCCTGTCCGTCTGAGGAATAAGCAAATAAAAAAATGCCTGAGTGGCGAACTCGGCGACCGGATTCAGATCCTCGCGGCCTTCTGGCAGTCGGCATCGATGCGCTGGCTGTCCCACAACGAATGGTTGATTGAAAGCCGAAAATGCTGATGGTAAACTTGCCGGTAAACATATCAGGAAAAATAGAATAATTTGAAACGGACCAAAATCGCCGACCTAAAAATATTGCTCAGTGTAAACCAGAGACAAACTGTTATGGCTACCGTTCGAATACTTAGGTACATGCACACTTTGTTTTTCGAACAGATTTCAAGCGATTATGGTTTAATTGCGATTTGGAACCTTGCACGGCCGTGTGACTGCAGAATATACCGCAGAAATTTTAGGTTCTTAGCATTTATAGTTTCCGAATACATGTGTACATTCCTGCAAATGCGCACACACGCACACACACGTACATAAGTACATACGCACATAGTTTAGACACAATTCGTTTCTGTGCTGTGCAACATGTAAAAATATATCGGAAAAATAGTTCTAACAACTGATTTTGAAAGGTATGGAAACTTTTGAGTTAAACGCATGCTGTAGTTAGGCTGGATTACTATCGTGAAAAGAAAAGATTACGTACGATACATCACTGCTAAAAATGCGTTGTCGGCATGGCGAGATAGTAGCTCTACACTGCATTCCTCAAGTGCTTCAGAAAAACACTTTCTCCATGGTTTGTTGCTGTGTTTTGTCGGTAAAAAAAATGCTACTTGCGCACTCGAAAATTCGAGGAAACTGATTTGTCCTGTGCCTGCTTTTGCCGAAGACTTTGAGTTAAAAAAGGCAGAAAAGTAATTGATCGATCTGCAAAGAAATGCATTCTGGCTAGTGAAGAAAAAAAGTAGTTGTGAACTTCAGGTGGATACCTCGGCAAGTAATGTCTCGAAGTCCATCATTTCTTAACTGTTTCTTTTATGGTTCACGCCTTTCATTTCATTTCATATTCCTGCAAAAAAATTTCATTTTAAGTATTCTACCAGTTTATCTGAAATGATTTAGTATTATTTAAATGAAGCACTCAGTGGACGAAAGATCTTGCTGCGGTCTAGAAATCAAAACTTAATTTAGATATGCGAGTCCCAACATGGGCGGCAAGTATCTCTGCAAAATCACATCTATCTTTTCTCATTTGGTTCCCGGACAGGTATCATACCTACAGCAAACACTGGCTTGTTCGTCCATGTGGGCGACGCAGGCGTATGTAATAACTGAATTTTAAATCGTTTGCTCACAAAGACAGAGAATACCTTTCTAAAATTTCAGTTTCGTGTCTTCTTTGGTTCTCGAAATCGTTTTCCAGTAAAACTTTTCAAACGTCCGTGAGTAAGATCTAAGTATGCTAGTAATGATTTTAAGATGAATGTCGCACATGGTTAGGAAAATAGTCTTGAAATTTCAAAACTCGAGATTCTTCGGTTGCTAAGTTAAAAGTGGGTAGCGGTGTTTTGCAGCTGCATAAATATCCAAAAATATATAAAAACATGCGTACAAAATGGAATAAGTCATGAAATAAGTTTGAAATTGCATCGAAACTACCTCAATAATGCAAAAACTCTCAGAATAGGTCTAAAAATGCTATAAATCATTTTCACACCACTTCAACCGTAATGATTTTCATCACTTGTAAGGAATTTTTTGAAAAATACGCGAGAAAAGTTATGATTTTGTTTTGACAATTTTAGTACACAAGTCATACCAGGCATATCAACGCAGTAGATCAACTTAGTAGAGTTACATAAGTTCTAGGAAAGACAAAAACAAATTGTCTCCCAAAAATTTGAATCCATGAATATGCTTTTTGAATGGGTAAAACTTATAGAAAAAAACTGCTACATCCTCAAAAAAACCCATTAGAAACATAAAATGTCTTTATCTTCAACAGACAGAAAAAATCAACAATTCATCATTCCCTGCATTAGTGAGCGCTGCCCATGAGGAAGAAAACAATCAGCCAGGCGGTCCCTATTGAGATGGCGTGCTTACACCGAAATGCCGCGGTATGCTAACTGGAGGTGTGGAGCCCAGGATCCAGGAATCTAGCAGAGTTGTGCCCGACGTGTGGGGAAATTCCAGTAACATCAGTAGCATGGGATAAACTGCGCAGTCTTGGTATTATATCATCAAAAGCACAAATGTGAAAAGGCTATCTAAATTTTTTGATTAGTAATTGAAAGTTTTATGCACAAGGACGCGCCTCTTTCTTTCGCGCCCTTTTCAGCTCTGTTTGTGTTACTGGTCCAAAGGGCTACAAACTTCCTCGCACCGACGCGAGTCAGTGATGCTCGTGAATTCTGAAATTCGTTGGTTTCTTAAGAACGTTTCGAAGACATCAGGCAACGACGAAACAAAAATTTTTCGGAACGGAAATGTGTTTATTTTAAGAGGCAGCACCTCGTGCATTTCTTTTCTCAGTTCCTAAAAAGCAAAGAATCAGTAGGAGAAGACGGAGAAAAGCTTTCCTGGGAAAGAATCAGTTCGTCGTAGCACTGAATTGTTTCTTCAGTGGTTGCTTTTCAAAATTCACGACCTTTTATATTCCGTTCATCGTCTATTTTGAAAAACGGAAGAGAACGAAGAACAATACTTCTCTCTGTGAGGCACCGGTAGGAAAGGTCAATTCGCACATATCGCTAATAGGCTTAATTAACTGTCAAATATGATATATGTTAAATGAGAAAGATCGTCGCACAAAGATTTTCTTGCTGCGAACAGTCCCTGAAAATCGTACCCCGCGCCATTCTGTTCTTTTTCTTCCCTTCTGCTTTGGTGAAAACCAAAGTCTACTGCTTAATTTAATCATGACCGGCATCAAAGAAATAATGTATTACAATATGAAACAATGAGAAGGACGAGGGAAGAAAAGGGAGGTAACGCAAGCGAAGAGTGGAAGAGGAACGGTGAAGAATGAGTCAAATTTGTTTCAGTGTTCATAAAAAGTGAAACATCGTATGGAGCTCTTTTTATTCCACAAAAAAAAAATTGGTTCGTGAGTTCACCTCTCGAAAGCGACAAATAGTAACAGGAGCACGTTGGAAGATTTAGCGCATTCTTTGTGTGGATGTAAGTGTTGAAGGCTTTAAAACCGGTCAGCATGGAGATTGGTGAAAAGAAACAACAGCTTGTCAAATTTTCTGTGTAATTTCAAAACTAACAGAAATCGCAAAATTTTGAAGAAGTGTCAAAATGTGGCGGGCTTCTTGCCAACGATGAGTATCTTAAAGAAACAAATAAATAATTAACAAAACAGCGGGGGAAAGCTCAGCTGTTTGATGTTTGTGGAAATGAAAATATTGGTGTTTTATCAGAGCAACCCACCTCGCTCCAAAACAAGTTTTTTTAATGCTTCCACAACGGTAACGAACGGACTAACAATGCGTCTAATTTGTGGACACGATTATAAAATTACCGCACTCTATTTTTCAGCATAACAATAATTTTTTCTTTCATCGCCCCTAATAATTTTACAGTTCCATATTTTACATCGTCTTTCACACAGATATTTTTCCTGCATCAATTAGTTGAAATTGCGAAGCGTATTAGGTTATCATGCATTTTGCGCAGTTTTGTTCCATAGAGCTAGAAAGATGCCGACAACTTTCTGTCCGGGCTTTCACTTATGTATCTGAAAGCTCGGTTTGATGAGTTTCTGGGTTGCACTTAGAAGAGAATTATCCACCTTAATTTTTAGTCCTTTTATTTGACGCGTGAACTTGAAAATTAGCCACCAAAATTTTCACACGTCGGTAGTTGAGACCTAAGCATAACTGAAAGGTAATTTCACGAACGAAGCTTCTTTATGAAGATAGTTATGAACAGTAAAGAATCGAACCACTTGTCCGCTGAAAACGTGCTAAGTCATGAGATATTTAGTCCTTTCCCGACTCGTTCATTCATTTCGATGACAATTTGTTATTGACAGATGCCAGGAAGTGAAACCCATCATCAGTTTGTTTATATGGGTAGCAAATCTCTGTTTTCAAAAACGCATTTCAATTTTTCGCTTTATGTGTGCCGATAAACGCACTTGTGATAACGTAAAAGGTTCTGCGAAAGTTCGACCCGCCCGATGAAAATAATATGAGTCCTGTTCAAAATCTTTTAATTACTCATGATTTGTTTCAAACTTTTTGTCGACTTCACTAACGTGCTGATTTCTTTTTGCTTTAATGCTGGGGACATTTTCAGAAAAAAAAGAATATGCGGATTTATCTAAAAGGGGTTTCCGGCAAATTCTACACCACTGGCAAAGTAAGGAAGCATAGAGCATTTTTGCCGACTTTAATATAAATATTTATCCTGTTTATTTACATACAATTAAATTTATAAAATTTTTATACAAAAACTAACCAATACCAATAAGTGAGAGTTTTTAAACTCCCTGTTCGGCATACGATTTTCATCATTCTTCCTTTTCATTAATTTTTAAATTTGTCCCTTATCACCCTTTTTAAAACTCTAACACATTTTCTTATACAAAACTACGCCATTTTATCAATACCTGAACCGCTATACTGACCTGGCCCAGCATTTGGCTGAATACGCATGTCTACAACTTAACAGACAGAAACTCTCATTTCATCCTGATTTTTAGTACAATTTTTCGTATTTTATGCATATTATGGTTAACATAATTTATATAGTTATACGGCCCGGGTTTATCATCAAGCCAACTTCTGCACATTTTGTTTCCATGTTTGCAGCTTCTTTAAACAGTCTTCCTACCCCAGGTTTGAAAAGCAAGCGAGAGTTAAAAAGAAAGCAGTCACTTATAAAGTTTTTGGTTATACAATACAATATTTTGCTTTTGACAAGTAAGGTAACCAAGACCAAATTTTTTAGTACAATTCTTTTTGGTATGTGGGAGATTGCTGACTGAATGGATGTTCGAGTTCTCCTCTCCTTTTTGGTCTCTTCTGCCTCATGTCTAATTTTTCCTCAGATGTCAAGATTTGTATCAGACTTTTTTTCTAAATAACTTGGTGTGTTATCTAATTCGCTGATAATAATACACTATCGTTTTTCTCTGCAATAGACCCTCTTCAGAAATTCAAAAATTGTTATGATTAGTTCGTTCTGAAGTTGAATCATATGTTTGAGTGTCATATACACATACATGTACAAAGTCAGATTAGATTTATGTCCCATGATTAAGTTCAAAATCAATGAAGCTCGCCGATTGTATTAAGCTGTTCGTGATCTTTCACCAGACGCTTTAATGCAATAGGAATTTCTTATCCTATTTTTCTCGGACTGGAATGTTAGAAAAATTTCCTGTGAAAGTTAACTTCTGAAATTCCAAGACATACGCATACCAAGAATGTAAGGTTTTTCCTCCTCGAAGTTCTGGAACTGAGTTACCCGGGCGGAAAAGAAACGGTACATATAAAAATGACCGCACCAAACAGTTCTTTTTTTTGATAAATGAAAAATGGAATTGCTTCTTGGCGGCGTAAATTCGTGTACTCAATGCAAACAAATCCAAACAGGATTTTCCACAATTTTATCCCATGAAAAAATCCTGAACAATCAAGCTCCTGTATCTTTCTGCGCTTTTTGGCCTTTGTGCAATGCAAGAAGCCATATTTTTGATGGGTTATTTGTATGTGTGTCTGCGTGTATTTGCGTCTGTGCCATATTTTTATCTTGGCACCCAAAAAAACCACAAGGCTGAAACTTTGGCAACTTAATCATCGAGCATATGCGGGGCCCTTATCCCTGAAATGGATGCTCTTGCTCACAGAGTTCCCACATACAGATTCGTGAAAATTTTTGGCGATTAAAATGATTACTCGGAAACCAGAGGAGCTAGAAGGTTGAAATTTTAAGGAAATGTTTTTTGGTAGTGGTATTTGCCGGTCTCAGTACTTTTAGCTAGAAGCATCTGCCGGAAAAAATAGTCCCATAGTGACAAAAACCTGTGGGGAACTGTGTAAAAAAAATCGCATCTCCGCACTGGCAGTTGGTTCGCTAGCTAATTATTATATCTACTGAAAATTTTGTTTTTAAGGTTAAGTAGTAATTTTTCTAGTGCGCACACACGTCAATAACTTTTTTTCATAGAACTTTCTTCAAGCATATTTTAAAAAAGACAAACAGTGGTCATTTTCGGCAGTGTGATCCGGGAAAAGGCATTACTTCGTTGATGAGCGCACTTTTCAACAAACAAGAGAGGAAGACAAACTAGCATAAACTACTGTATATCGCAAAAATCGTATGACCAGTCGTCATACTAATGGAAATTTGCTAAAATATAACAGTCTGTTACTTTTTGCAGCAATGACTTCCATTCGAGCAAGGCAAGAAACCGCTGAAGCAGAAGCACTGCACAATCCAAAACTGTTGGCAAGGACTCGTCTGAGCGGGCCACATGTCGTGGGAGGGAATGGATGGCTGGGATGAATCCGGCTGAAAAATGGACGCCTGAGGCAAACCAGGGTGGGCTAGGGGATGCTGCAGCCCATTTTGGTGAACTGGAGGAAATTCTACTGCATTCTGATAAGATGCGGGTTGCTGTGGCGAAAATTGTGGAACAGAAGGTGAGTGCAGCGAATTTTGGTCAAATGAAAGTGGCTGCAACTCCGTATGAGGCGATGAAAATAATTGCTTTGAATATTCATCAACAACTGGAAAGGAAGGTGACTGTTGAGAATTCTGGCTGATTGAGGGAAAATGTGAAATGGTTTGATAGGCTGAAGGTTGCTGCATTCCATTTTGATAAGGTAAAGATGGTTGCGGCGGTATATGATGAACTGAAGGTAACGCCTGCCCGTTTTGGTGATTTAGAGGTGGCTGAGCATGGTTTTGAAAGAGAGCAGGTGGTTGTTGCAGGAAAAAGTTGTTGGGGTGTTGCCCGTTGATGCCCGACTGCAGCGGTTGTTGAGCCTGAAATATTGCAGAAATCATAAGAAATCAAATAAAAATTTAGGCTATTCTGCTACAATCTGATCGTGAAATATCAAACGCTGGTGGAATTCCAGTGACAGATACATCTTTATATCTATAAAACGCTGGAATCCAACAAGCTTTATGTACACGTATTCTGCTGAGTTTATATATTTGAAAACCTTATATGTCTTAATAGTTTCGATAAGATGGAGGCGTCTGAAGCTCGGGCGTTTTGATATCTAATATTAAGAGGATTCAGAAGTTTAAGGCATAGTTAAAGAATGAAAGCTCACTACGCTAAAGTGCGGAACGAAATTGCATGAAAGCGAATTATTAATCACAGTAAAAGTCTAAAGTTAGACCCCTTCGTGATACCACCAAAGCAGTTCAGCATTTTTGATAAATTAAAAAAAAAAAAACTTACCCGACTGCTACAGTACGGGAGAGAATTAACGCACAGTCTTATAGTAGCGGTGAACTGGAAGCAGCAGGGCTTCGTACCGTTTGCGGTAATTGTAGGCTGAAAGGTGGTTGTGAGAACTGAGGAACTTAACGCAGTTTGCGCAACTGAGGGGTACTGGTTTTGATTGTTTTCCTGCGTGTTTGATTGTTGAAAGCATTTGCACGGCAATTGGTGTGATGGACAAGAACATGAGGGTTGTGTTTCTGGGGTGCACCTGCACTGATTGTTTTCGCAAACACAAATCCGTTTTTCTCCAGCCATTCCACCAAAACCATAACCATTACCCTGACCGTGCTAAAATCTACTCAATTTTCGTGGGACATTAATACATTCACGTTCCTTCCCATGGCTTAATGATTTTCTGTAGGACGATTTCACCATTATAAATTTCTTCTTTCAAGAATTTAAAAACTTCAAGAAAATTTTACAGTTTTGCTGTTCAACAATTATCCTTCCAAGCGCTACTATTCCGATAATTTCTCCCACTGCGTTTAAAAGCAGAAAAATTTCAATAGTTTAGTTCTCCTTCTAGCAGTAAAAGCGCATTAGGGCAAAATAATGTCTGTACGTGTGCGTTTGTCAAAAAGCAAAGTCAGAAAATATGTGGAACTTAAGCACAAAATCTAATTAAATCTCATTTTATGAAATGATTTACAATTTTCCAGCTCAGCTTAAATTGTTAATTAAAAGCCGCTCAATCCGAAATTTCAAAGGTCCGATTCGTCACGCAGCGTAAGTAAAATGTGTTGAAATCAGTTTTCAAGTCTTTATCTCACCCTTTGAGCCCAAAGGTTTGGGTCAATTTTTTGTAATTATGCCCGGGAAAACTAAAAATTTTCAGATTTTGCCGAAAATAATGCGAGTTAAAGGCCAGAAGCCAGTTTTGAGCTTTTTTTCTACTCAGATCTATGGATATATACGAGCAGGCTCATGTTATAAACAGGGGATGAAGTAGATTACGGATTCAAAATTTTTGACATTTCGTGTTGTGGATTAACCAGTAAACCATTGTGAAGATATAAAACTAACGATCATGATCTTGCTTCAGTGACTTACTATAAGTCCTTAAGAAGCTCAGCGCAAAACCTCTCTTGCTTTGTTTTGGTGCGCATCGCTATTTATTATGTTTTAAAAACCGATGAATGGAAAGATACGAACAGAACTGATAAGTTTTTTTAGTTCCAATCGGAGATGATAAAGCAACGCAAGGCTTACGTATTTTTGCGTGAAACTATTTTTGCCAAGCCGATAAACAACAAACCAAGAAGGCTCTAGAGGCGTGGGCTGCAAGGAGAAGCATCGTAAGACGTAGTGTGTACATGGTTGTTGCTGGCGCTATTGATGCTCTGGAGGGAGAGCTTGCGGTACAGCTTTTGCGCCAGTTTATATAACCTTATAGCTCTCGGAAAGAATTTCCCGAACTTTGATTAGTGTTATATTTTACACAAAAAATACAAATCAAAAACTCTGAGTAAATAGTTCTATGACAGAATATGTTTGTTTACTACTGGATTCAGACGCGGCCGGTTCCGCTAAGAAGAGTACAGGTGGATTAATTTGCTAATCAGAGCTGCTCCAGAAGTTTTTTTTTTTTTTT